GAATATTAGATAAAAAACACATACTTATCTATAATAAACAGTTTAGCTCTCAATTGTTGGCAATCATGATGGTCGAGTTAAGCTTAACCGTCGATTAGCTTAACCGAAGATTGATGAAAGAGATTCTTATCCATCTCGGGTTGGATTCAAATTCACCGCAGTTGCAAACACTATAAATCTACACCAATGAAAATGGACATTAAGGTTGATATTTCATGGGGTACGTTCGGAAATACCACCCGAGTGACTCCGTGTATCGTCTTATTCTTGTCTTTAACATTCGATGAACAACAAGGATAAAACGATACACGGAGTCAATCGGGTGTTGTTTTTGAACGTAGCGATGGTGTCGTACAAATTACAATGTACGACAAATTTTTTGAAAACGATGATTGGATACATGATAGAGAATTTCTAGAGACTCATACATGCACTATTCTATACCAATCTATACTTTCAAAAAATTTATTGTATATATAATTCGTGAAATGTCAGCCTATGCTAGTTACATTGTGGATGGACGGCGGTTTTGGAAGCGTCTCGCTTGGTTGAGGTTATGCTATGATATACATGAATTGCAAGATCGCAGACTTATAAATGTTTAACGTAGCTGTCAAATAGGCACATTTTTGCCGTCTCATTGAGCTATTTTTGTAAGGAAGTCATAAAGATTAGGTGAGTGTTTGTGGACATCATAATACCGTTTAGATATAGATTTGCTACACCACTGTATATTGGCCGCTATGTGCCGTACAATGTTTGAACGTTATTAACATGTACATGAGAATTGTACAAGACGACATTAATATATCATACGCAATATTTTGTTTTATTATATGCTGTATTATATCTATATATGTTATATTTTTACAAAGAAACCCAACGAAATGTCTGGTGGTATGCTTTACGGTGGAGACGAGATAGGAGCATTAGTCTTTGACTTGGGTCATCATTCTCTGAGAGTAGGCTATGCTCAGGAAGATACTCCAAAAGCGGAAATTCCAGCCGTTGTAGGCTTAGGAGAGGATGCCAATGGTATGACTACCAAGGTTGAACCCATGGACATTGATGATAAAAAGCCTGATAGCAATATAACGCAAAATGGGACCAAGTATTACATCGATACCACAATTCTTCATGTACCACGGAAAAATATGGAGGTTGTGAGTTATATGAAAGATGGTATGATTGAAGACTGGGATCATTTCGAGAAGGTAAATAAGTAATAATTTATGTAACTTGCGAGATATATGAATTTGATTTTACATATTGAAGCTTTGGATGTATTGTTTATCCTCTAGGTATTAGATTACACATACTCAAAAATAATTCAATCCGATGCTGAGTATCATCCTGTGCTATTTTCCGAATCCCCATGGAATGTACGCAGCAAGAGAGAAAAGTTAACCGAGCTGATGTTCGAGAAATATAATGTACCAGCTTACTTTCTTGTAAAGAATGCAGTTTTGGCTGCGTTTGCCAATGGTAGAGCGACTGGTATTGTTGTGGACAGTGGTGCCACACATACATCCGCAGTGCCTGTACAAGATGGATTTGTATTGACGCAAGCCATTGGTAAATCACCTCTTGGTGGAGACTACATAAGTATGCAATGTAGACAATTCTTACAGGTACGCAAGTGTTATTCATGTTTATCATAATGTCTTCCAAATCTGTCTCATGTATCTTGAATAAATACAGGACAACGATATCGATTTGTCACCTCCTTATATGGTAGGCAGTAAAGAGGTAGTTAAAGACCATGATAAGCCACGATGGGTTAAAAAAAAGGTTTACCCGAGGTTACTAAATCCTGGCATAATTACATGGTAAAAAAAGTGATTCAGGATTTCCAGGCCACAGTTCTTCAAGTATCGGAAACGCCATATGACGAGAAGATCGTTTCCACGATTCCTGCAGTTCAGTATGAATTCCCGACTGGCTATCATCAAGTATATATATTAAATAATATTTTTTCAATGCTGCACAAATCTTAGGCCAAGGTAATTAAAAGAGGATTATTTTTCAAGGACTTTGGAAGTGAGAGATTTCGAATACCAGAAGCGTTATTTGATCCTAGTATAGTACAAATGCGTGGAGGTATGGTTGGCAATACAATGTTGGGAGTAGGACATATTGTTACGACTAGCGTTGGCATGTGCGATGTTGATGTACGACCAGCGCTTTATGGAAGTGTTGTAGTAACTGGTGGAAATTCATTTATTCAAGTAAAATTTTAATATTTTATGAACATTAACGAGAATGTTGTGTCTCTTCTGTGTATATTGATAGATTATTCTGTGCAGGGTTTTCCAGAACGCTTGAATAGAGATTTGTCCATGAGAATACCTTCCAGTATGCGTCTTAAATTGATTAGCGCGAACGGATGCGCGGAAAGAAGATTTGGAGCATGGATTGGTGGTTCAATATTGGCATCAATTGGCACTTTCCAACAAATGTGGATCTCCAGTCAAGAGTATGAAGAAAGTGGGAAGAGTCAAGTGGAAAGAAAATGTCCTTAAAACACGTTAGTTGCTCATATGTTTCCATCCTATTGGTGCCAGTGTTGTATGAACATTGTATAGGGAGTGAGTACGTTTGGAGCATAACACTCTATATTTTGCGATACTATGTATCATTAAACAAATTATGATTATGCGTAAAGCACGTGAGACAATGAAGCACCTTAAATAAAATGTCTTTTTATAATGTTATGAATACGTATTCATGATGTTATTGAATCAAACATCTACTTATACATATATATAGATAAACATATACTACCTGTAAATGACATTATACATTGCTCCAAGTAAATGACATAAGAAAATTGATCCTTATTTATTACCAATATAAACGACGAAATTTTGTAAATTGTAATAAAATTTTTTATAAAACATGTAGCGAATCGTGTCATGAAAATAAATTTGTTTCTTCGATTTCATCTTTGTCACGATGTCTTGTCTTCGATTTGATCTAGTTTCACTGCCGATAATGTTATATGCGTCACGTTGAAGTTGTAGATACACAACTCCACTCAAATGTCACTGCGTGAGAGTGGAAACAAAACGCTTGGTTCTGGAAACTATAATTACTCTTTGCAGCACATGCATGTATTTTATATGGAAATAATAAATAAGTATACGATATGAAAGTACAAAGGAAACCATCTGTCTTTTCAAATATCTTATTAGTAGTTGATGGAAAGGAAATGGCATCCTTTACTAAGTAAAGAGATGAATTGAAGAGGTCTGAAACAGTTTGTCTTTGATAATGAAAGACGTTGAATTCAGCAAATTAGCTATCATTAAGTATGAAATATTAATGAACAGAGGACAATTGTAAAGTCTATACTTGTTGTCTCTGGATGGTTCTTCAATATTATAGAATCTACTAATAGGGATCCAGTAGTAATTATTAAAATGTCGACTAATAGTGTGTGTAAAATAAACAATTAAGAAAATATAATTAAAAATACATGGAATACTGACTTTGAGACCGATAATACATTTTCAAATATTGAAAAATTTATATATATTTGTTCCATAGATTTCTAATATAGTTTATATCAATACATTGTACTTAGTATCGACTTTACATATATGTATAAAAAGCTCACGACTCTGTGCTCATTTCTTCCAAAACTTTATTTCTGACTCTATACGTGTTTTCTGATGAATACAATATGGATATTAATAATTATGTAATTATTAATAGAAAGGTTTTAAAATTTGTTGGTCTTTATCCAATAAGTATCGTGAGATATGTCTTGTGTTGTGCGTGTATGATTGCTATTATTATACCACAAATAATGCAAATTTATCAAAATTGGCAAGATCTGTCTACAGTACTGGAAACGAGGTATATATTCACAATCTTTCATCATGGATACTCAAGGTGAACTGTAAATGTTATATGACAATTTAATTATGTTTTAAGAAGCATCAAAATGATTTTATATTTCATTTATTGTTTTTATAGTTCAGTATTGTTCACTATTTTACTTGCTATCTTGAAATCATTAGTTTGGGTAAACAATAGAAGAAAAATGGATTCTTTTATAGAATACATGTTAACAGATTATTGGAAGATAATGACCGCACATATTTCGAAGAAACGCAGAGATGTATGTGCAATGTGAGTGAATTTGTTTTTAAATAGCTTATTAATACATAAATGTTTACGGTTCTAAATATATCTATATATATATATATCATGTTACTTGCAGATACGTGGAAAAAGGATTATCATATACTAAGGGATATCTATTTTTGATTTGTAATTCTTTAATATTTTTCTTCAGTTTGCCTATAATTGAGATATTTGTCACTGTGATTAAAGACACTAACAACAATAGTACATTAACATCAAAGCACCTTCCATTTTTAGCTTTATATCCAGAATCTTATTACAGTTTTCCGATGTATGAGGTAAGAACTTTATATTTTCAAGGATTTGCTAAAATTATTAAATATTTGTGTATATTTATATAGATTATTTATCTTTCGCAAATGGTGGCGACAAGCTTGTGTGGTCTTGTTATCCTAGGAACTGATACTTTAATTGCAACAGCATTGTTCCATACATGTGGCCATTTCAAAGTACTTCAAAAAAAGATAAAAAATATTGAAAATGAGATTGATCTCGTTAGTATTTATTTTATCACTCGGTCATATCACTCATCGTGTTGCAATTATCATAAATTAATGTATTTATTATTACGTTTCTGTAAATATATTAACATAGGTTTTTATTTATAGGTACAAAATGCGTACATTGAAAAAAATATTACGCAAAGAATTAAATTGCATGTAATAGATATTATTGAACATCATTATATAATTCTTTGGTAATAATTTTAAATTCACGTAACAAACGCGCGCGCGTGCACACACGAATGTTTTGTAAAGTCGTAATAATGTTTAATAGAGAGATTAAGAATAGATTTCTAAGATCATTTTGAGATGAAAATTCTAATACCAAAATGTTGAGACTATAGTAAGTTTTAAATTATAAACATTTAAAATTAGCAAATCAGATAGCCTAAAATTCACGCGTTCAGGTGTGATACAACGTAAAGTACTAAATGCTCGAAATTTAATCAGTCTAATTCACTAACTTTAAATGCTCATAATTTAAAAATTGTTATAGTCTCGACATTTTGATATTAGAATTTTCATCTTAAAATAATCTCAAGAATTTTATTCTTAAACGTTATCTGATCATAAAATATAAAAAGTCACAATATTTCATGTAGGTTTTGTGATTATATGGAAACGATCTTTAGTCCAATGTTATTTCTACAAACATTAGCTAGCAGTCTCATAATATGTCTAGTAGGTCTTCAAATTGCGTCTACAAATATAACTGCGAGTACAATCTCCAAATCGATTAAATACATCTCATATTTAATTATGGCACTTTTTCAATTGCTGCTTTTTTGTATACCTGGTGATGCTTTAATATATGAGGTATGTAACAAAATAAAATGGGTAATAAATTTAATAAAAATGACCTAACAAACATATAGACAAATATATATGTATATACACATATGCTATATATATTATATCACAGAGTTCCATGATTTATAAAAGTGTGTATACAATTACTTGGTATAAATTACCAGTTTTATTTAAAACTGAGATATGTTTGCTCATGTTGCGCAGTCAAAAACCTAGTAAAATAACCGCAGGAAAATTCTATATAATGCATCTGGAGAATTTTAATGCAGTAAGAAATCAAAATTTCAAAATTGTACGACTTTATAATACATATGTACAATAAATAAATATATTAGCTTTAATATTTATAGGTATTGAGCACAGCTGCCTCTTATTTCATGTTGCTTCGAAGTTTTAGCTCAGATGGAACTACTATCAATTTATAATCGAATAAAAAACAAATGTAATATGTAATTGAAAAATAGAATATAACAGAATATTGAAAATAGAATATATAGAATAGAATATAAAAATAGAATATAAAAAGCATAAAAATACAATACTTGAAAATTGTATTCGACGAAGCTTCGACGATACGGAATAAATATGGTTTGTACACTAGTTTATTAATATCCATACACCATAGAATCTTATGCTGTGTATAATCTTGTTTCGGCAATCGCACTTGTTATAAATATGCACCCCAACCAAAATACATTTGGCACAGATTATCTATATTTGTCGCTTCTAAAATCAAATGATTGGTTTGTCCTTCAACGCTGAGATGTAATGCAATATTTTCTGCTTTTCTTCCAGGATATCGCACCAAACCTTTTAATCGTTGCTCAATATTTTTTATATGTTCTACAGCCTAAAATAAGAATAAATGAATTATTCTCATATTTTTATATCTTGTTGTATGATTTAATATAAAAAAATGTCTGTCATACTTTTTCATTTGTTTTTTCAGCTGTTTTTTCACTGGTCTGATTTTTATTCCAGCTAACGAGTGGATCGTAGACGAAAGGCGTGAGTACACTCAATAATGTACTCGATTCTTGCCGAAGTACTCTCATAGTAATTTGACAGGCACGTCTGAATGGTCCCTCAATTTTTAAAGGACCCATAGCATCTACCATATTATGAGTTAAGCGAAATGGCACTCGTTCGGGCCAGTCAAAAAGTTCGCCCTAAGAATTATAGATATATAGCGTAAGAACAATTAATTATTTAGAATAAACAATTAGTAAGATGAGAAGTAACAATTTACATGATTCCATGATGTGTATGTGTACGTATATATTTTGTGGGTATACATGTGTATAAGTGTGTGTGTGTGTGTGTACGCACGTGCGCGTGCGTATGTGGAAATATATCAACGAAATATATCAAGAGATTTATAATCTTAAGAAGGAAATTCATCTTTTATGAATCTCTAATATTGAATTATGAGATTTACCCTGTTAAATAAGCAATTGAAATCAACGTGTACGCAATCTCCGCATTTAGAATCAAACAATATATTTTCTCCATGGCGATCACCAAGCCCAAGTATGTATCCTACCATAGACATGACAGCAGTTGTCCTAATATATGCTGTACGAGCTTCATACCTTTTTCAAAAGTAGATAATTAACATTTATACATATTATACACACAAAATTAAGAATATGTATGAGATAAATTTTAATGACATGTACCATCCATATGAATCAGGAAACGTAATGCGAAACCAATCCCCAAATACAGGAGGATGTCGTGGTAATTGCTTTTCTAGAAATATTTTCTTCTTCTTTTCTAATGGATCTTTTAATGCTAGTGAAAAAATTTAGAAATGAAACAAAATAATTTTTTCTTTTAGATAACGTTCTTACACGTTTTTAACAATTGCATTATGACATACCACATATCATTGCTTTAATTTCTTTATTTGTAGGCGCAATCCCTCTTTCCACATAGAGATTCATAATAGTAGGTCGAAGACCTACCAGATTTGGTATCCATTCTATCAAACCACATTCTTCGTTTAATGGTACTACGCTCTACAAATCAAGAATTAATTGATAATTTATTGAAATGAAATTTAAATAAGACGTATATTACTTAGAGAGTCTTACATATGTGCGTATGTAAAGCCTTCTTTGTCGTGATTCTGGATCATTTTGAAGATACTTGTTCACGATATCATTAAATTCCATCAATCTGAAATCCTTACGTAGATCGTCTTTCGGCTTACACATAAAGAGATATTCTTTGCCATCCGATCCTCTTAGCGCAATTCGTCGCGGTCGTTGAAGTGATGCCATTATTACCACGTTTTCTTCTATTTTTGTTATATGTACCCATCTCCTATATTACAAATATAACATAAAATCGCGTTATTATAAGAAAAGAAAGTGGATGTTATAAAAATAAAATACATACAATAAGAATGGATTATGATCCTCAAGCGAAGCATTCTTCGCAGGAAGATGTAATTGTCTGAATTTCGTTGTTGGCATCATAATTGGACTGAAATCTTTACTTGCGAGTAACCTTGGCAAGCTTTTTGATAAGTGAGTCACTGTAGTATTCAATGTTCCCTATTATAAAATCAAAGGAGTACATTATTCTTTCATTATGATTAATCTTATATTTCGATTGAATACCGAAACTTACATCTGGTATCGTTTTATTAGATAATTCAATTAGTCTTTCCCAAAGTTTGTGAAAATCTTTAATAAGTTTAGACATATCTGGCGTTCTCAATTGCGTATGATTTAAGATTTCTTGACATCGTTTTTGTCGCGCTGGATATGAAGACTACAAAATAAAATAAATAAAATATTGTTTTACATTTTGGTCAATTATCTAAGAAATAAAAAAAGAAATATATATGTGTATTAATAAAATATATTAGAGTAATGTTTGACTTAAGTCTATAACGGTAGATCAATAATCAATAATTTGCGGTGTCGAGTTTAAATTCGCCCTTTACATATTTGAGAATAAGTGAGGAATCACTTAGAAGAATTTCTTAGATATAAAGAACACTTTGATCTCATCCGTTTTTGTAACAAAACTATTAACAACAACAACAACAAAAACAAAAACATACATTAAAAACTGATGCCATCATCCATAAACAATGTTGTGGATATGCTGAAATTAATTTCACCAGAATTGCGCATAAAGTATTTTGCACCTGTGGAGATGGATGACAAATTCTTGACACAAGTTGACTAAAAGCAGTTAGCCACATAAACGTCGGTAATCTATGATGATAAACCTCTGAAAATTGATTGATTTGCGTTCTTTGTTTAATGGCATAAATAAATTTTCATAAATTGATCTTTCAATTTCATTGAAATAAATACCCATAATTTGTGTCATTTTTAATAGACGATCCTGACGAAATTTGACAATGTCTGGTGGATCGGAAGTAATTGTAGCGCGAGAAGCGTTATCCAACCAGATGGTCAACATCTTGGGCATTGAATGATGAATGTACTTGCAGCCATATTGAAGCGACTTTCCATAAAAATTCATCATGTGTATTTGCAAATCTCTTAAAAAGATTAATGGTAAATATTATTATAGAAAATCAATTATATTGTGATGATATTAAGTTGTATGAGATTAAATTGTATAAGCCTACCGTTTATTTCGATCCTTATCATCTTCAGACATTCTCCCAACAATGGTATCATAATATTCAGCACATGCTACCCAACTTTTTTCCCATTTTTTCCATACTTCGATCGCCTCTTTATAGTTATTGATACAACTGTCTGTATCAACGTTGAGAGTTTCGTCGTTGTATTTTGCAAACAGAAGTTTTGCCTGAAAAAAGTGTAACTATGAAACAACTATGAAGATTATTTTTATAAATTTTATTTTTCAGTGTTACGCACCTTTGCACAGTGTCTTCTTTCTTCACTACAATCGTCTGAGGGTAATTGTTTATAATAATGCGCTGGTTTAAAACAATTTAAGAAACAACGATTTAAAGTAGTAAAGGCATCTTCTTGACAACCTTTCTGCCAATACAATTGAGCTTGTTCTATGTACAATGATTGTGGAGGACATGAATCGTTAGCCGATAAAATATGCATGTATGCTTGTTGTTGCAAGCCAGCCCTGAAACAATCATTCATTTAACACAACAGTCCTTTCAGAAATTATCAGAAATGTGAAAAAAAATATCGTACGTACTTTCTAGCAATTTTTGCGCTCTTCAACCAGATTTTGCCAATTTCTTGTTTAAGCATTAAGTTTTCTGTGTTTTGAGTTTTTTGTTGTAATTGTACAGCTAAATCCAAGGTAGCTCTGCGCATGCTCAGGACAAATTCTACACCGCGAGATGCTTTCAATAGTTGTCCACGTTTCTCCCATTCTTCTAGTATTAGTGAAAGGCCTTCTACATTGTTCAGCATCATCGAAGTTGCTTTATCAAATTCATTTAATATATGTAATCTGAAAAATGCAATAACAAATACATTTTATAATTTGCAAAAAATATAAATTACTAATTTACTCACTTCATAATATATGAATAGCTCTGTTGATAAGCTCCCGGTCGAGAAGCATCTTCTAATAATGAGACTAAATTCTTTTTTAAGGAGAGCAGATCTGGTTTAATCCCTTTTATGAGATCATCTAATAGTACATGCTTTATATTCTTTTGCGAGATTTCCTCGAATCGAGAGAAATGAGCGAGTCTCCAAAAAAGCTCGCGTTCAGTAATGAGAGGCTCCAATTCTGGCCTATCGTATCAAGAAAATATTTCAATTCACAAATAATTTATTTAAAGTTATATTTTATTTGTATTATAACAGTATTACCTAGTACTTAACAGACCCTCGGTAATATATTTGGCAGTGAATGGTTGATCTAGACCAAGGTAACACTGGATCATACCTTGTAAATATGTATGTTTTAGGTCTTCTTTTTGCGCGAGCCTCTCGTAGCACGTAGCTGCGTCCTAATCGAATTTATATGTATTCACGTGTATCATATGAATTCATAAGTATTTGAGATGTATTTTGATGAGGTAAGATTATGTGATTTTGAAATAAAATTAATTTATCTAACAATACCTGCAGCTGCCCATTGACTTCATGAGCTAAAACTAATTGTTGCAAGGTAGGAGACTGATTCTGAGTTGCCAAAATGCCAGATACTCCATCAGGTTCATCGAGTTGCGCGTAAATTTTCTGCAATAGACACTCCATATTATGAAACAGAGAAATGTATCGTGCCATATTAAAAGAATGTTACGTACCGCGAGTAAACCACCTTCCGTTAATTCTGACAAACCTTTATGACTAGATGCCATATGTTGTTCTAAATACATTAGAGCTCGATGATATTCCCGTGATTGATAACAACCTTCTGCCACTACGAGACTGTCTAACCTAGCACAGAATTCTAGAAATCGGTAACAAAACAATCAATCATATTTATATAATTCATGTACACAGTATATAATATATATTTTTAATACAAACTTTTTACTGCTTCGTATCTATCATCTTGAAATAATCTTCGTTCTCTAAGCCACCTTTGCAAATGATCCAATATACAAAAAACTACCTATTCCAATTATACAATAATTTTATTAAAAGTACTAAAAATTTTAATGTTAAATAAAATAAAGTAAAACTGAGATTGATATTCTGGAAAAACAATTGATTTATAATTTTTGTAATTCTGATCATCATCCCATAAGTTTTATATACTAAAACGCTGATTTAAAGTTTTTTTTTTTTTTTCTAGAAATCTATATCTTCATGTGCATTAAATAAAATTATTAAAAAATTTATGTCGACCTGCGAGCAGCGCGTACGTCTGGTTTCTTCCGAGATCCTCTTTTCATCGGTCTTTTCACTCTGTTCATATCGGAGCGGTCGATGACGCAAAAGTTCTAAATCCAATACGGATTTTTGTCTAACATTAATTACAGCTAACATTTCTTCTCTGAGCTTAAGATGTTCTTCTTCTCCATTATTTGCGATTATGTACGCTGGTAAATAAAAGTGACATGTATATGTATATTAAAATAATTATTCGTACATATTTGAATAAAAATATCAATATACTTCAGCTTACACACGATATACGGTAAACAAAATATTAATGTTTTCATATCCCGCTTGAAGGCCAATTTGCATGCTTGTAACACATTATTGAGCGTTGTGTCACGTACAGCGCTAGACATGCTGCAAAGCCAATTATAAGCCCAGTTTTCAACTGTAGAACCTGCTTCAGAACTACAAATTTTTTCATTATCAGTTGCCGATAAATATAAGGTAACAGTAGCTCAAACTTCATATAAATTATACCCGTAAATAGGATGTGGAAATTCATTGTCGTCGCTAACAGTCGCTATCTTGTAATGCGATGTCAAAAAAGGGATAATAATTTGTTGCGTTGTGGCTGATAAATTTTTCCATAATTTACTATTTCGACCTTGTGGAGAAATGTCGTATGCTTTTAATATCTCCTGAAAAATGTCGATTACGTTTGATAAACAGAGTGTAATTTGTTTTTCATATGCAAATACATACGTATTTATTTACGTACGTATGTATGATGGGTGTACAAGGTTACCTGTATAGCAAGTGAAAAACAATCCATACTTTGGCTATTCTTCTGCATTTGAAAAGCCCGCACGTGTTCGGAAAGTAATGCACACGCAAACTCTTCATTCATATCTGATATAAAATTACTATCCTCTGTAATATAAAGAACATTTTAAATTTAAAAAAGTTTAAAAATAAAAACATAATAAATGATATAATAAATGATTATAATAAAAATATAGAGACAAGATACCTCTAGAAATAATTCTTCGTGGAAGAAGACTCGGTTCGATAGCTCCTAATTCTCCGAGACATTCTCCATAACATAATCGGATAGATTCATCTTTATCTTGACATCCGATCAGCAGAGTATCTAGTAGCTTTAAAATATATAAATATGAATATGATTACAGCAGATAGTATACACGATGCATTTATATATCTAATAAACGTACTTCAACGATCAATGGATGTACATCAGTTTCGCTTAATATCATTTTATTAAGCTCACTACGATGCTCCTCCAGAAATGTTTGCAAATGTTTTAGAGCTCTGATTCGCACTTCATCAGTTTCATGAGTAATCCGTTTCAACCATAATTTTAAATTAGCATTAAATCCCTCGGGTCTAAAATCAGAGATTCTTTTATGATATACATTCGAAGAAACATAAGTTAAATATATGTTAAATATACCATTTACCTGGCTTGTAAAATATGTGCCTTAACTATATTAGTTATGTGAGTGGGAACTTTCATATCGTCTATAAAAAATAATTCTGAAATGTGACTGTTATGACTCTCATTATTTTGAACAATCAGAAATTCCAGCATACTATTGACTTTTTCTGGATATATTTTTTGCAATGGTATTAATGACACGCATATTGTTGGAAATAATGGTCCTAGATCTTCAATAGCTATACTAAAAGCAGAATTTTGAAAATTATTATTTCAAATCATAATTAGCATGTTGTTATATTATGTGTATATATTAACTTAATATTTATTGCGACATACTTATGAATAAATGCATCCCATGCATCACAGACCAAATGTGAGAAACCTGGTCTTTTAAACCCAAGCGAAGTTCGTAATGTGCCTAAAATTTTGTATCTAAGTGGCGTTAAATAAGCAGCACCCATGTATTGAATTAAAACGACTAATGAAGCAAGGACGGATTGCTGTGTATATTCATCTGACTTAGGACCAAGCTTTATATCAAAATTCACCAATATGCCATGTAATCGCAGATTTAAATAAGACACCTGTGTATGTATATTATATTTGTAATTGTTATATGTATTAGTTATAATTCCTTTATTATTAATTAAAATACTTACAACTTGTTCATGTGTACCAAACTTTCCTCTTTGATTAGTATCATATTCTGAGATGATTTCTAAGAAACCTATTATTTTTCGGGTGATTTGTAAAAATGTAACATAAGTTCTTCAAAAATTCCCTGCAAGATTATATGTATATATATATA